TTTGTTAGGGTTTAGGGTTTAGGGGATTTATAGGGTTTATAGGGGCTTTATAGGCTTTATAGGGCTGATTTATTTGTTAGGGTTTAGGGTTTAGGGTTTGTTAGGGTTGAGGGTTTAGGGGATTTATAGGGTTTATAGAGGCTTTATAGGCTTTATAGGGCCTTATAGGGGTTTAAAGGGCTTTATAGGGCTTTAGAAGGTAAGGGTTTAGGGTATTTGGGGTTTCAGGGGGGGTGGGGGGCATTTAGGCTGAGGGTTTTGGGTTTTAAGGCTACGCAGGGGTTTAGGGTTTAGAGCTTGAAGGCTTTTGGGCTTCACAGAGGTTTAAGGCTGTATAGGTAAAGGGTTTAGGGCTGTAAGACTGTAGGGATTGGGGGATGGCTTTTCAAGGATTTTGAGTTTAAGTAGGGTTTTGTGGCTTTAAGGCCTTGGGGTTTCAAGGCTATGGGGCTTTAGACCTTTAGGAGTTGAAGGTATTCGGATTTTCAAGTGTTATACGGATTGGGGCTGTAGGATTTTGGGACTTTAGGGGCTATGTGTTTGGGGTTTCGGGGCTTAGCGTTTGGGTTTCGGGGTTCGGTTTAGTGGTTTAGCAATTTAGGGATTCAGGGTTTTACACCTGTTCTGCTAAACCCTAAACCCTAAACCCTAAACCCAAAACCCTAAACCCAGGATTTATGGGGCACTTTCGGACTCCGAGCACCGCGCTCGTTCTCCCGGATGGAGGCCGCGTCGAAACACCTGCAAGTTCCATTTTACAGGAGTGTGAATACTACTACTATTAGGGTTTAGGGTTTAGGGTTTAGGGTTTATAGCAATATTCCTAGTAGTTCTGATGCAGTCAGATCAGAAGAGAGCAATATAAATAGAGGATACGATTCCAGATCCCAGACACCTTGGTGATGCCTCTCAGCGCAGGAACTGGAGGCCTTGGCGAAGGATCACTTATGGTCTAATATACAGGGCCTAGGGTTGGGCAGGTCTCAAGGCTTCAGTGGCTGAAGATCAAGGGTGTAATGGAAGGGCCTGAATAGTTACCTAGATTATTACTGTTTTGTAATCTCCATACTATAATAATACTGTATTGAATTAACATGAATGAACCGCAAACCCCGATTCCAAGTACTAAGGCTCCCAGAAAGCAGAGGGGAGGCTTTGAGGGCCTTTGAGGGAGGCCCCCCCGACCTCCCTTCGGGTAGCCAAACCTCGAAGGCGCTAAAGGACCTAACAGCCATATTTACAGAGGCTATAATTCGTTTCATATTCCTGAAAGCTCTACTCTGACCACCCACAACAGCAAAGTCTTTCGCCAGGGCTAAGGCCTTGGACGCCTCAGTGCGACTTCAGCATCTGACCTCTGCCTCTTCACTGTACGCGCATGAGCTTTCACAACAAGCTTTGCCCTTATCATCAACACTGCTGGACTACTATGAACCCTACTCACTACAGCTCTCTAACGCTATGTGCAGCCACGAGAAATAGCCACGAGAGCCTCTCAATTCTAGCGACGTGATTTTTAGGCTTGCCCCGCTCGCCGGGACATTGCTGAACCCCAAAGCCAAGATATATTTTCAAAGCCTTGAGTCAATCCCCGTGGTGTTGGCCTTAAACCCTAAACCCTAAACCCTTGGGCATCAGGACACCCACAACCTCCCGAATGTCCATGTCAAGGGTTCTGAACATGCCTGGCACTGAGTCACTACCTGCCCCCCGGAATCACAAATCCGAACTGTGGAGAATCAGATCGCGCTGGCTGTCCGAGGTTCCCTGATGTTCTCAAGAGGTTACGCAACGTTACCTCTAACACAGAGCAAGACTTCAAAATGAAACGGTAGATCCAAGACAAGGAAGTCATACCTTGATCCCTTCACGCGAAGCAAGGTAGGTCAGGCCAGCACGTATGTCCCGGCGCGTCAGTGCTGGTGTCAGAACCTGCGCAGCACATTGTTTTAAAAGCGGGTTTCCGCTTCACTGGATCCGAATGGATCTGAAACATCGAAACTTAAGCCTTCAGAGCTCAGATCCGTGTATACGGCAGTATCACATGTCATCAAGTTGAGTCCAACATTTCGGGTGTGCTTGATGCATGCACACCGTGTTTGCTGCGGCCTCATCCGTTCCCCATGGTTTCTACATCTAGCGATGTTTGCTGAACTCCAGTACTCATGAAACACAGGACTTTACCAGTTGTAGCAACCATGATGGCACTCATAAATGACGAATGCAGTTTACATACAAGCTTTGTAGTGCCCCGCGTGAGCGCACGAGCGAAGACTGATCTTTAATGGATGTTCGTGGTTACGGCGCCTGTACGTGCCTATGCGTGTTTACATATATTTCAGGGTTTCGGGACTTGTGTGGTGAGGATATGCTCAGCCATGTCACTGGGCTCGGCTTGGCTGGATGCCTACAACATCTCTACTAGAGCATTCCTTCGTGCCGAAATGTGGCTGTAATCACGTAATGTCTGATTGCGCTAGATTGCAAGAGGAGCCGTCGTTGGAAAGCTGATCGCTAGAACTTCCTTCTCCAAGTACAAGCAGAGACATTGATTAGCTTGTTTTTGGTTGCTGTAGATCGCAAAAGGAAGCTCGCACTCCAACTTTCCAGGAGGATCAATCCATATCAAACACCCAGGTTGCCGAATTTCCCCCGAAAGCCGGACTCTAGGCCGGCGGCCCGAACCGAGCAAAACGAAAGCCCTAAACAGCCCTGATGTGCCTGGCATGGAATTGGGCTTCGGCAGCGAGGACAGCCTGCAAAAGCCGATCCCCTCAAAAAATAAATTGATGCCGAAAAACGCAGTAAACAACGGAATGAGGCTTTGAGGCCGCTCTAAAATTAAGTGCTATCCGTGCGGGAGACAAGACAAGAGTAAGATCGTACTAAAGTAAACAAAGACTTGAAGGCAGTACTGGCAAGCTCGCCAGTCACCAGTCTCCTGGACCAAGCCCTCTGGTCCGTTTTTCTTGACGCGAAGCCCTCCATCCTAAACCCCTCACTCAGTTCTCCGGTACTCATCTCGAAACTGCGGGCCGTAACACAAAACACGAACACAACGAATCCCGTCACAGCGGCCCCGAACTCCATTGTAGACCCTATGTGGCCGCTCAAAGCCTCACTTCTGTCGTCGGCAGAGGATCCTCGACCTAGCAGGGTGATGAGATGCCCATCTAAGATCGAAAACACAGATCGATTAGGGTTATCTCGCCGCTCTTTTGGGTAGGGATCCCTTGTCGATTTCCCCTACACAGAATGGACCTGAAGAGACGGATCCATAGCATAAGGACTGAAGGTTCTTGCTGCATGGGGCTCTCTGCTTCTGGGGCCCATCAGTGTCTGAAAGCCCGCGGCCACTTCCAGTCGAACCGTTTAGGGTTTAGGGTTTAGGGTTTAGGGTTTAGGGTTTAGGGTTTAGGGCAACACCCTGGCGCATGCAGGCGAGTGGCATCGTACAGCTTCTCCTCTGCAGCACGAATGGTTGTGACCGAAGACAAACCCTTTCTTTGCTTCACTGTCACTATCAGCTATCGCCATTGCTATTGCTCTTGAAATTACTGTTGCTAGGGTCTGCTATAAGAGTGTTCCCACTATCACTGCTACAAACATGATTTTCGCTGATCTATGATACGGTAGGAGGAGCAGTCGCAGTAGTTGGAGTTGTCATTGCCCTTGTAAGAGGAGGGGGAAGCGGAGGAGGAGGAGGAGGAGCAGCAGTGTTTCAATCGCTATCACACTCTTGACTCATCCTCAAGCCGAAGACTAAGTGTCTGCCGGTTTCTGAAAGTCACTGCAAGCAAACGCTGATCATCAGCAGCAAACATGATGTAGTACAAGTGGCTGCTACTGCCAGGATTCTCGGGGTTCCATGCCAGCTTTGAAGAACCCTGCTGGCAAGAAAACTCGTAAGACCCTACCGCCTCTGCCCGTAAACCACTACTCCGTAACGAAGGGGTCTCCTCCACACTCCCTTTCAGGCTGGTCATGCCCGGGATCACGATGTCGCTGATGATCCTCGGAGCCTGCGAGATTCCTGGAGTTGGCGATCTGAGCGGCGAGATAGATCGGCTTCTGCTGGCCGGCGTCTCCTGGGTTTTGACGTAGCAAAACGAGAAAAGCTGTCTAAACTCTCAATCTACACCGGCTCCCATATACTTACATATGTAAAGTTTCCCGAAATCGGATCCGGCAAAAAAACGAACAAGAGCAAGCAAGTTTAGCCTGTCAGATCCCAGTCTCTGTCTGGCCCGGCTGCCCCGAGGGAATGGTGATCGGAGGTAAATAAACCACTCGGCCCACGCACGGGTTCGTTGTCATGCGGCTGATGTTGCTGCGAGCGGTTTGCGTCGCTTCTGACGAGGGTGCTATGGGAATCGGTGCTGGTACAGAGGTGGCCTGGCTAACTGTTCGTGTCACGACGGGGGGGTGCACGTGGCAAGCTGGGATTGGAGCTGATGGCCAAGATCCGGCCAAGTGATTCGGGCTGACTGGCCTCACAGGCCTCAAGGGGCTGAGAGGGCTTAGGGGGCCAGGGCTTGGGGGACCTCCGGCCGTCGGGAGATTCAGTGGGCGACCGCGCTCCATTCGCAGAGGCACAGGGAGTGCTGGAGCCGCTTGTGGGACAGGCGAAGGGCTGCGGCTGCGGGGAGAGGCAAAGGGGCTCTGCAAAGTTGCCTGACCAGGGCCATACTCTAACCAGGGTATCCCGGTTGCGATGAGCCCTGGTGGGGTGAGGTTCTTCATCGGCTTGGACGCGATGGTGTGCCGGGAGTTGAAGGACCAGAAGGAATCCAAACCCTTGCCATCGCCTCGGACCAGCCGCGTGCTCTCACTCTTACACTGAAAGGAGCTTCGAACTTTTCGTTCGAAGACCTTTGGGCATCTTACGCAATAGCGAGAAGTACTCCTTCTTCTTTGACAGGAACATTCTCGGGACCTGACCACCCGCACTCAAGAACACGGATCACGCGACCCCAACTCCACAACATGGTACAAATACAGGGGCTCAGTCTTCGTTACTACTGCCATTGCCGAGCCACAACTGTCTGAAGGCCGTGGTGGTTGTGCTGGTTATGGTTGTTGTGCCTGTCGTAAGTGATCGTTCTGGATATTGCTGCTTCTCTTGTTCCAGATGGGACTCCTGCTATTCGTGTTGATGTTGTTGTTGTTGGTGTTGTTGTTGTTGTTGTTGTTGTTGTTGTTGTTGTTGTTGTTGTCGTTGTTGTTGGTGGTGGTGGTGGTGGTGGTGGTGGTGGTGGTGGCGTCCTTATCAAGCTGAGTTGCCAAAGCTGGGACACGGGCAGGAGCCATTCCTGACAGCGCTTTGGGTCACTCCAAATGCGGCTTTGCAGGCCGCTTCAGTCTTAATCCGATGACCATCTTCGCTGCATTGCCTGAAATGCTTGTGGGTATGACAGGTCGCTTGCCAACTACCGGCTTTAAGTTTCAACACCCTCGACTTCGTAAGGCAATCCCGAAGCCGCATCAATTCTAAGTTCTAACCCGAAAGACCAGCGGACCCGAGAACCAAACCCCAAACCCAGACCAAACAAGTTTAGTAAACATCTTGCACTTGAAAGCAACTGGACGGGTTGACAGTTTAAGTGCGGGCGCTGCTTGTGGTATCGCCCTCAAGGCCCCTACAGACCAGCCTTTGGGGACTCGGGGGCGGTCGCGAGAGGCTGAAGCTCGGAAAGCTGCTCTGAAAGCTCTGCGGGTTGCCCTGGCCATACCTCGGGACTCTGCTTTCAAGGTACACTTTAAGAGTTAGCTATAGCTATTAAGAGTTTGGTTCAGTGTGGGAGCCGGGTTGAAATTAAACAGGAGACCAAGGGTCCCAGGTTTTTGAGTTTTGGAGTTCTGTGAAACCTCACCTCCGATGGCTGAAGGCATCGTGAAAATGCCAACGTGTGGCGTCCGCGACTCCTATGAAAAAGGCAAGAGTTGTCGGATGATGACGCCTGATGCGGGTACGGCGATTTTCTGAACATCAGCAGACGGAGCCGAAAAAGATAAAGACTCTGAGCACCTAGGCACGACTTGAACTTCATATGCTTGCATGGGTCAGAGTGGCGAGTGCTAGTTAGTACAGAAACAACGCACATATACTACTGAACAAGTTATTCTGCATCGCTCGGACCATCATAGTCGTGCATGGTTAGTGCGCTATATACAACTATACAACTACATTACTTCTGATCACATGGCTGCAAAAGACAATGCTTCTTGTACCGCTAAGTGTTGCCACTGTTTGCTAATTACTGATTGAGCGCCGGAGTGACTGCCAGCTGCCACGGCAGGGGCTGGGCAGCGGCGGGAAGGAGTCTGGCATCCTCACAAGACGGCCCCAAACAACAGCGTAGGGAGGAGGGTTTCCGGTCGGATAGCACGGGAGGATCCTGGCGTAGGCGTCCTTCATGTCCCTCTCTGAATCAGTGATCGTGGCACCTACGAATCTCAACAAGAGATCCGGCGATTCTTCAAACAGAAGAGTGCGAAGGGCAACTGTTCAAAAGAGTTTCCCGCCGTGCAGCCAGCCGAAATCCTCTGAACGCTAAGCCTGGAACATTCCGACCCTCAGCCCTGCATCTTGAAAGGTGACCCCTAAACCTGTACCAGGGCAGCCGGTCGAACCTGAACCTCCAAACAGCCATAAGACAGGTTGCCTGCCGGTTTCAATAACCCGTTCTCAAAAATCCATTTTCATGGTCCCCCAGCGAAAACGAACAACACCGCAACCACCCGGCATGATCTCTTTAGGTCCTCGCGCCCGGCTGCCCCATAGAGCTGCAGCGGCTGGGATAGATCGTCCGTGCCTCCTGGAACGGGATATGGGTTTACTCAAAGGATCAGGTACAACATACGCACGGTAATTATACGATATAGTAATGCGTGCTTCTATCCCCAGGTAAGATACTACTTCTCATTACCCCTGAACCATGCACCTGCAAGCAAGGCTTCGAAGCTTATCGGGACGAGGCACATTAATGCTCCCCCTCAACTACGTAATTGGCGGTTGTGGCCAGAGCATATACCTGCTTTTCCCAGGTGACTCAGAGAGATTCGCCGCGGGCCACTCCAGGGCTTTGGGTTGAGGGGGCCGGGCTGAAACATCTAACGAGGTATAGCATGAGTGATGACACTACAAGCCAAGAATACGTGTGAAATACTGCACCTTGCATAGGCATATATTAACACGCATCTCGTCTATCTATCTATCTATCTATCTATCTAATCTAATCCAATCGAAACTAGTCTACTCTACTCTATCTATCTGTCTATCTACCCACCCGGCTAGCTAGCTCTCTAGCTAACTATCTAATCTATGTTACTGTCTGCCTACCTATCTATATACCTGGCATTACCTGGCTATCTTCCCGTCTAGCTCTATATACCTATCTGCCGATGCATCTATCCATCTCTCTTCCTGTTCATCCTTCCTATCTTTTTTTCTACCACTTGAGCAACCGGAGCCTCTTCTGCGAAAGTTCCGCCATAGAAGGTGGTGTTCTCAGCTGCTACGGTGCCAAAGGAAGCTTCCAAACCAGCCATGGCTTCGGCTGAGTCGTCGGCTGGCGCTTTCCGCGGGTTTGAATAAGGACGTGGGGCCGTGGCAATAATTATCTTAGAAACGAATACTCCGAATTTCTCACGTGTACCTGATTTTTTCGGCGGTTCTTGTCATCCATCGTTGCCATCCCTGTTCACGTTGGCATGTACTACGCAACAGCGCATCTACTGCAGCTTGCAGTCGCGAAAGAGCTGTTGTAAGAATGGGCATGCTAAAAGGGCTGTGTAGGTCGGCTGGCTTCCAATCTCAATCAAGCACCCCTCGCGGTGCGAGCCTCGACTGTCTGCAGAGACGAGCAGCTTTGAGGGCTTTGGTTCATGACACAATGAGTGCTGAACAGTTATTAGTAGCAACGTAGCAATCGGATTTCAGGGGCTTCAGGGTTCACATGGCAAAGATCAACAAGCAGGTTTTTGCACCTTCAAACCTTGTTCTTCAATGCTGGCCCTCCTCCTCCAAGGGCTTCGGGTGTGGCAGGTTACAAGGTTTAGGGCAGAGGCGGTGTAGGGTTTCGAGTTCAGGTATTGACCAGCTGCCTGAGCGTATGAACCGACAGATGATGTCGGCATGTACGAAGCTCAGTCGATGCTTCATGGTGGCAATGGCAGAGATATGGGAGCTAGGACTAGGGGGACCCTTGGGGATGTAGACCCTCTCAATAAGGTCCCTTTTAAGAGAGCCAAAAGTTGGGCTCAGAAGGGGTACCCTTTAAGGGGTACCCCTAATAATACTACCTAAGATAAGCAGCGACGACAACAGCAGCTCTGATGACAGATCTCCTTTCCACCCTGTTGTACACACGAACTCAACAGTCACGGAAACAGTATGGCAAGATCGCACGGGATTTCATTCGACCGAGCAGGTATGCTGAACCCACGAGACGAAGTATAGGTGGCGAGTCGAACCGCTGCGCCAACGAACTGAAAAGCTGGTTCTGATAACACAAACTTTTTTCATCGTCTATTAGTGGCGTGCATCCGTCGGCTGAGAAAGCAGGTTGCCACAAACGCGCAAGCCAATGCATTCGTTGGTCGGAGTCACACTGAGTCCTCCCCGAAGCGTGTGCAGGGCGTGCTGTCTCACTGGCCAGAGTCAATCGAAATATGTAGATCCGGCTCCTTTGCCTCTCGACTAACAGCGTCGAACACGAGAACACACGCAACGACACAATGCGAATAGACGCTTCAACCAGTGAGTGCGCCGGCCCTGGCTACAAGGCACTGCGGGATCTCGGAGGGCCTCTGGGTGGTTCGGGGATCTCCTTCACTTCCATCTAGGCTCGAGGGCTCTCGAAGTGTATCTTGAATCGCGGACATCAAGAACTGTCAACTGCACCGGGCTTCGGAACATGGAAACCCCCTGAACTTGGCCTTCACCATTTTACAGGTTTGAACGCCTCTTGATACAAACCCTGCCCTGCAGGTGTCAAAGGGAAACTCTCCGGGCAGCACTGCTGACGGTGATGGTGATGACCGCCGATGAAGGAAAAACTGATGATGTTGACGTTGAAGGTGAGGACATGCAGCAGGCCCGATGTTCTTTCGAAGTTTCTGTTCCCGAGAGATTTTCCCCTTAATCCAGTGAAAGCGATCTTTATGAGACGCAAGACGGCTTGTTCGCAAGCCTGCAGGTGATGAGCCTCTGACAACTTCGGTGCCCTTCGATTGGCTTCTGGCTTACACTCAGTGCACCTGTGCGGGTTTGACTTAGGGATTGCCCCCGGTCCTGGCAGTTCTGCCCTCAACTTCGGAGGCGCTCCACGATTGCTACTTCGGCCGCCTATATCCGATATGCTAACCGGCGATGTCTGGGAGATTCTTGCGGATGTGTAGCAATGTAGTGGTGTTGCAGCTTTAGTCTTGCGAGCACTGCCATGGACATCGACCGAGGAGCCCTCCAAACCCGAAGCATTACACCTGAGCCTTAACTCAGCCTCAAACCTCACACTGTAAGCCCTCGGCATCCCCAAAGCCTCTGAACCCACAAACCCAAACAAGCGATAAGCCTGAACCTTAAGCCCACCGCAACACTAAAGGGGTGGGCTGAGAGCTCAAGTCTGCTAGGCACCTTGCACCAAAGCTGTGACAGCGTATGTGGACTTACTCAGAAAGCCCGATGCCAATGCTTTGTTGAATCATGCCACTCTGCTCAACGATGCAACTACCTCTTCGAATCGCAATCTAAAGCGGTTGCCAGAATGCAAAGGAGCCCCATGTGCTGCAAAGGGTCCTCCATAAGAGGCGCGCCGCTGCCACTTCCGGAGAAGCTCTTGACTTTAGGCTCGACATCTTGAAAGCCGACACCGTAAACAACCGAACTCATCAACCCTGCATCGTACACCCTGGAACACTTTGCTTTGATATCGGCCCTCATGCAAGACTCAATATACGCCCGAGCATAGCCCGAATATGGACCCGAAAATAGCCCCTGCTATGGACCTGAGTATAGATACCCCGGGAGGGAGAGCTTCGGTGCCATGGACAATATTAACTATATAACATAGCAAAAGATAGTATATATGGTTTACTTTTATATAATGTACTAGAAAGTAGTATATAGTAGTAGATAATACATGGCATAATGTGATATACTGCAGTAAAAAATCGTATACTATCAAATAGAATACGATAATATAATGTACTATATGATATACTATAAGTAGCATACACCATGTAATGTGACATGATGTCATGTAGCATAGTATAATATGGCATAAGAAACGACCACAGAACAAGATGTAGTAAAATATAACATAACAAGGCACAAGATAAGGTAACATAACACAACACAACATACCAAAACACTGCATACATCATATAATATCATATCGTGCAATACGATGTAGTTTCATGCCTTAAATATCAGAATAGGGCTTTGGGGCAGAGTATACTATAATTATAATAAGGAACCTCCCCAAAACCCTATTCTAATTACCAAGGCCCCTGAACCCTAAACCCTTATAGCAGCCCTTATAGAACTCGTTCAAGGAACCCTTTAAAGGCACCCTAGTCGAAATATTGAGGCCCCTAGAGAAGCTATTAACCCTAAACCCTAAACCCTAAACCCCAAACCCTAAACCCTAAACGCTAAACCCTCAACCCGGGGAAGGCCCCGAGAAAAGTGCAGCAGCGCTTGGGAGCTGGCCGGCGGATGCCGGGACCGTGAGACGAAGCTGAGAACTGAATTATGGAGAGGGCCTTTATAGGGCTTTAGGGGATTTAGGGTTTAGGGTTTAGGGTTTAGGACTTTAGGGGCTTTATAGGCTTTATAGGGCTTTAGGGGCTTTCTAGGGCTTTAGGGGCTTTATAGGGCCTTATAGGGCTTTAGGGGATTTAGGGCTTTTTGCTTTTTATAAGGCTTTAGGGGTTTAGAGGGCTTTGTAGGGCTTTAGGGGATTTAGGGTTTAGGGTTTAGGGTTTAGGCTTTAGGCTTTAGGGGCTTTATAGGCTTTATAGGCCTTTAGGGGATCTAGGGCTTTTTATACGGCTTTAGGGGTTTAGAGGGCTTTGTAGGGCTTTAGGGGATTTAGGGTTTAGGGTTTAGGGTTCAGGCTTTAGGGGCTTTATAGGCTTTATAGGGCTTTATAGGGGTTTACAGGGCTTTAGGGGCTTTATAGGCTTTATACGGCTTTATAGGGGTTTATAGGGCTTTATAGGGCTTTATAGGGGTTTATAGGGCCTTGTAGGGCTTTAGGGGATTTGGGGTTTAGGGTTTAGGGTTTCGGGATCAGGGCTTTCTAGGGCTTTAGGGGATTTAGGGTTTGGCTTTAGGGATCAGGGCTTTCTAGGGATTAGGGTTTAGCTTTAGGGATCAGGGTTTTATAGGGCTTTAGGGGATTTAGGGTTTAGCTTTAGGGATACGGGCTTTATCGGGCTTTAGGGGATTTAGGGTTTAGCTTTAGGGATCAGGGTTTTATAGAGCTTTAGGGGTGGCTTTAGGGATCAGGGTTTTTCTAGGGCTTTAGGGGATTTAGGGTTTAGCTTTAGGGATCAGGGTTTTATAGGGCTTTAGGGGTTGGGTTGAGCTTTAGGGATCAGGGCCTAGGGTTTTATGGGGTTTAGGGTTTCATAAGTATATTATCGGGGGGTTTGTGGTGCTTTAGGGGTTCAGACGATCTTGGATGGCTCTACGGGTGAAGAACGGCTTTTCTGTTGCTTTTACGGTGGTGTCTGAAACACAAGTGCTTATGATGATGATCATGCTTGTCCTTGCTTGGGGGAATCTCTGGCTTCGAAGCTGCTCTTCAAGATTTGCACTTCCCTCCCCAAACAGAGAGCACCAAGAGGTGCCCATGAGAAACGGCTGTCCTTTCGCCAGCAGAGCGCAGGTTCCCTTCTGAAGCTACCATCCGTGCCACTCGACTAGAGGGTACGGCGGTTGGATGGATGCAGAGGCCCTAGAGGTCGCATAGGGGCCGGTGTACCGCAGCGTTGAGGTGGGACTGGAGGGTTGAGGGCTTGGGGTCGAGGATTGAGGATTGTAGGGCTTGCATATGCAGGTTGGGGGTCTAAGGTTGACGAGGTCGGTTCCTCTCCCTTACCAGGAAACCACGGCACCATCCAAAGGCCTCTGAAGACCGCTAGGATAGGACTTGTTCTCTAGTGCCCATGGAGCTTGCTCCTGGAATTCCCAAATCTATCCCCGCAGCTACGTCAGCCATGTGCTCAACTCGGAAGGACTCCTAGAATGACAAAAATTCGCTGGCATCACCAGAACGACACTGAGACAAATATGTGCATCAATCTTTTCCAGCAGCCATACAGACTGTCACCAAAGACGTTGTAAACATGCTACCTTAGGAGTTGAGGGTGCTTAGGGCTTTTAGGGATTAGGGTTGTTGGGTCTCGGCTCTCATTTAGGGTGTAGAGCTTGAGGGTTTGAGCCAGTGTCTAAAGTTTCAGGAGTACAGTCTAGCGGTTGTGCTGACAGAGGCGTCGGGTGGCACGGCAACCTTGAAATGTCGCCTCTCATCGCGCCTCCAGCCCCCTTGCAGCAGAGTGGTTTGGGGAAGGGAAGCCTAAGCCGGAACCGAAGTCGGGAATCGTGAACTGCTACCAAACAGCAATGCCTTCAGCCTGTCAGGCCCCGAACCCCAATCCCTAAACTGTCAGATCCTCAACCGCAGGAGATTTGTAGATCCTCTTTAAACCCTTATAAGTTAAATACATCCCTCGACCTCAACGCTAAACTCTTTGGGCGGAATCAGAATAAGGGACCCGCTTCGACCAAAACAGTCGGAACCTTTAAACGTCAGAAGAACCCTGCGCTTTTTCCAGAAAACCTGTGACTGAACTCTTTGCTAGGCTTTATTGGAACACCCTCGTAGCGGGTTTTGTGAATTTCGTTAATAATGATAGGGACTTCAAGGGGAGGCTAATAGTACCTATTAAGACCTTCACAGTGGGGCACTGATTTTAAATAGGGTCTATAGGATCACTGACACAATGGGCCCCAAACCCCCCGAACTCCCTAAAGCAGAAACCATGTACTCTACAGGCCATACTCGATGACGCCGAAACCGAGACCCCCCGAACCCTAGCCCGGAAGCCCCGAAACCGAGAAAACTCCAAATCCTCAAGAAATCTCAAGCGCTTCACAAAGGGTTTCTATGGGTTCTCTAAACAAGAAGAGGGAATCCAAAGCGCGGGTGTTGCACGAGGCTCTTACACGAGGAGACCTTGCCGTAAGGATCCTAGCAAGTAGGGTTCGATGTAAATATACAGAAAGAACCCCAAGTGCCCTAGAGGCCCTAGACAATGCGAGTAGGATCTTAAATCTCTAAACCCGAAATACCCTCGAGCCCTAATAAGCCCTGCCTTCTCTAAACCCCAGCATAAGCCCACTAAGCCCCAATCCCCGGTCGAGTTTAGGGTTTAGGAAACCTAAACCCCTAAACCCCAAAACCCTAAACCCCTAAACCCCAAAACTCCGAGAGGGGCAGCCTTGCGCCGCCCAATGCCTCCCACTGGCCCTTGAGAACCTCCTCGAGCTCCTGTTTGGGCTTTTCTGTTTTTGTTGTTACTGTTGTTGCATAAGGTTTAGGGTTCAGGGCTTAGGGTTTAAAGTGCTTTCTCTTTATTGCTGGTGGAAAAGTAAGGAGTTTCCAGGGCGAAACTCGGTTCAGTTTGTAGGTACAGGGGTGTTCAGGGCGCTTTCCGGGATCTGAGGAGACCCTTGCCGCCTTCAGGGTTTAGCCCTAAACCCTAAACCCTAAACCCTAAAGGGCTTGGGCTTTCAAGGTGGGTTTGGAGCGCTGAGTCACAGATTGTTGGGCTCTGGGGGTTGGGAGGTATCGTAAAGACGAGACTCCACTGCTCCAGACACTAGTCCTTTTTCAATGCATGCCAAAACTCCTAGTGACTAGTGCTATGGAGGTCCCTGGCGGGTTAATGCACACCGCTGATAGATAACCCCGGCCTTAATCCGCAGATATTCAGATCCCCAGTACAATCTCTTTCCAGGCAGGGGGTTTATCCATCAGGGGTCTATATTCCCATAGACCCCTGAACAATAGCAAGTGCCGCTCCGGAAAGCTCGGCCGGTCGTCTGGCTCGTTGTGCCATGCGCGCTGCATCAGGTTGCGGATGGCCTCTAAGTGGAGCTTTGAGGCAACAAGTTGCTCTGTTTGGGGGCGGGTGGGCGAGGTGTGGGGTTGGTTTAGGTTTCGCGGTCCGGGGTCCGGGTTTCCTGGTTTGAGGGTTTACGCCATACGGTGCCTGATTGCCTTTTGACTCTATGCTGACTTCTACGAGCCTGCACCGGATGTTTGCAGAACAGCAAAGAAAAGGCACACCAATGACCTTCTGCTTGTGAAGTTCTTCTCCGTTGGCTGCTGTGTGAATAGGCACGCCTGCAGACATCCTGAATGCTTTCGACCCTTCACTCTTGCTACGACTCGATTCTGGAACCTAGCTGAACCCTCTTCTACTGAACCTAGCTGAACCCTATTCTACTGCTCCAGCTTCTTAGGCGAGCTCAAAGTGAACCTTTGGGATCATCTAGCGCCCTACAGGGGGGTACACTACCTCGGAACGGTTAGTTACAGGTTACCTGCTAAAAAACACTAAGCCGAATCCTCTTGGTCTGGTTTTCAGGATCCCACCTTTTCAGCATGGAAACCCTAAACCCTACCTTAAGAACCAAAAACCCACTTTTTTGTAGGTTCTTATTAAAAACCCTAATATGGGATTTATAGGGACCCTACAAAAAAGTAGGTTTTGGGTTCTTAAGGTAAACCCTACACCTGCAACTAGGGTGCTGTGCCTCCCGGACTTCTGGCGAGTCTTCCGAAGTTGAGCTGCGAACTTCTGGGCGCAGGCCCATGCAAACCTTGCTTTGGGGGGTATTGTAGGGCTTGACAGGGTCCCGCAAGGGTTCTCGTGGGGTTTTGGTGTCTCTGAAGGGGTCTGGGTTCTGGGGAATTCTGGGCTTTGGGTTTTACCGGGGTTTGGGATTTGGGTGTTTGGGGCTCTGGCTTGGTTCACAGTCGTGGATGCTTCGGCAACGCGGGCTGAGGGCTTTGCGGAAAGAGTTGTTGATGTAGGCTTTGACATCGGGGACTTTATTGATCTTGATTGGCAGAATGACAATGATTGGGAGCCTCGAAAGCGCAACTGAACATCAACTGATTAAGGCAATCTCCTTGCAAGAGAGCAAGCTTGAACAGCTTATCTCTGCGTAGTTTTTGCCGACACTGAACCAGTACTGGGAAGCAAAATCAAACTGAGCATGTCACTTTGCAAAATCGTGGTTTGTGCTTCAGGATTAAAGGGCCTTACAAGAGGCGGTCTAGGTTCAAAGATTGGGCGCAAGCAACAACATGATAATCCGGTTTAGGGTTTAGGGTTTAGGGTCTAGGGTTTAGGTTTAGGGTTTAGGGTTGCCCGGGTGCCAGTAACTTGAGTAAACTGAGTAAATGCTCCCCCGAAGCGTTATAGCATGTCGATATCAATGGTTTCGCCCTAAACTCCTAACATGGCCCTGGCCCGGGGCTGGGGTTCGAAAGAAACGGTGAGTTTACCGTTCGAAGCTTCAAATGGAATTCTACCCTAACCCTGTAGACCCAGGACCTGAAAAACAATTGCGAACCCGAATATATGTCCGGGCACTTCGGCATGTTAGACAAACCCTATACCCTAACCCATACACTCGTGCAATGCCCGCTACCTCAGACCCCAAGCCATGTAGCTGAAACACCAGACGTTCAATACCCCGGAAAGACCACGAATCCCACGCCCCACTAGACCCGTCAAGCTCCCTAGAGTATGCCCTATAACGAAAACCTTTTGAAGCCCGAATCTGTCAGGCCGAGATGATGGCATGAAGGCTGATCCGAGGATCCGATACGTCGTTCCTTGCTACTGTTGATGGACAAAATTCTGCATGACCCAAATATCGTGTAGTACCATAAATCCCATAGTTTAGGTATATAAGGTCATGCAGGATTTTGTCCATCAACCGTGTCATCTCAACTTTTGAATGCTGGTTTATCCCGCACGAGTCTTGGTAGCTCAGGGTTGAGGATCAGAAAGGGGAACTCAGGGAGGGTGTCGGGCTCAATTCAGGGTGTAGGGTTTCGAGATCTGGGTTTCGGGTTCAATGCGGTTTGATATTTCGGGTTCTACATGGGGTTTAGGGTTTAGGGTTTAGGGTTTAGGGTTTAAGATTTAGGAGTTTAGGCGACGAGCACAGATGGGGCATTTGTCATGGAGCAAGCTGCGGCTGTGGCTAGTAGGAGATGCATCTTACCAATCTGTTGTTTCACGCCTGAAGCTCAGCTCGTAAAACACTCAAAAGCGAAAGGCAGTTGAAACCCCGTCAGAAACGTGCACAAAACCCTACTGAAACCCTACAAAACCCCAAGAAACCCGATAATAAAACCCTACAGCCCCATGAAAAAGAAAACGCTACAACAATCTCTGGACAAAATATCTTAGAACACCCCATGGCTATAGCCCCTAATAACACCCCACTGACATGAAACTACAAAACGCCCCCACGACGACTCAAAAGGGCCCTGTAGCCGAGAGAGAGACCCGAAGCGTTCGCTGTAAGGCAGTTGGCGCTCCATCACCTGCTTTACAGGGCTCAGAAAAGGGGTATTCGGCTGGTTTGGGGTTTGGGGTTTAAGTTGTATTATAGGGTTAAAGTTTGCGGTTTAAGGTTTGGGGTTTAGGGTGTGGCGGGGCGCTTGTAGGGCTTTGCAAATTGTTTATGGGGTCACGTCGGATGTTGCCAGCGATTGGATTCAAAAATGTTTCTGAAGTTTTTTTTCCTACGGAGCCTAGAACTCAGGACTTTACATGTTTTCAACCAGCTTTCCAAAGCTAAGGGCTTGTGAGGGCTTAGGGTTCAGGCTATGAGAGGTTTGGGGTAGTAGCACCGGGGTTAAGGGTTGGATTGGAGATGTGGGTCACAGGATCAGAAAATTTGGGTTTGGTGATTCTGAGGTGAGACTACAGGGTGGGACGACGGCGTCAGGGTCGAGGAGGCCTCTAACTGTTGGCTCTCCTGGGCGGAGGGGGGGGAGAGGGGGTGTATCTCACCAAGCAGGCTCCTTAAGAAGAGAGTCCCAGGATGGCACCTGCTGGCATGCTAGGACGTTACCTTTAGTCTCCATTGTAGTTCCTTTTTTTGGTTTAACCAATTATATATTAAGGAATATATAAGGTATCCCCCAAAAAGGAACTACAATGGAGACTATAGGTAGTGAGATAGTTTCAGGGTCCGGGCTGAAGGAAAGCACAGCATCAGTTTGCGATTCAGGCACGGCGCCCTTAGACCGCATAAGCACGCATCAGTATAGTGTAGTACAGTCTAGTCAGCATAGCTTAGTGTATAGTATAGCATAGCTATTACAGTACAGTACGGTACTGTATGGTATGGCAAAGCAAGGCATGGCATGGCATGGTACTAGTACAGAATTAACCGTCCCGGCACAAGCCCTGGGAGCCTTATTTGCAAGAAGTAACCAGTAAGCAGATAATCAGAACAGAAGCCCGCACAAATCTTACAGAGGGGTACTTGGTCGTAGTGAAGTCCAGAAAACAAGACAACTGTAGAGCGTCAGGGAGATTCGAATGACGAGCTGTTCAATCCTGAAGACCCTAAGCCCTGCATCCTCGAAGCTATTCGAAGCTCCTGTTGCAACAACAACCGTGTTGGTGATCTCCGTTCCTTCAGAGGTGCAAGCCAGAAGCACCCTGAGCCTAAACCCTGCAAATCCTAACCCCAAAACTCCAGAATCCAGGCTTCTTGCATGGCCTCGTACATCAGGATGCCAAAGGAAAACACATCCGCCTTCCTGAGTCACATCGAAGTGAATGTTTAAGGAGCTGATCTTCAACCGGGCCAAAGGGTCACGAGTACAACGAGAGCACCAGAAACAAGAGTGGCACTGCCACAGCGCAATCAAATCCACGGCCACCGAGCGCCAGGCCAAAGACTGACCGCGAGAAACAGCGAAAGGAAGACGAAAAAGAGGAAACCGACACAACACAGAAAATACGCGTGGCAGTCGCGGCAGTGCTTGTGTTGCTGCTGCCTTTGTTGGTGCAGCTATTGTGCTATTGCTGTTGCTGTTGGTGGTGTGGTAGCCGGTAGCCATCACCGTGAGTCGCTCCGGCACAAACCCGGAACACGGCAATGTGGAGAACTCTGTATCGGCACTGAGCTTGGTGCAGGTTGTAGGGCTCTGGGTCATCGTCTGAGGATGCGAAAACCTGCCAGGGCTTTACTGCAAGCTGCGGTCTCGTCATAGGCCTGGTGTGCTTCCAAGATCGGGGACGTGAATGTTTCGGAGAGCTTTTGATCCAGCATTTTCCCGCCGCTCTCTTCAGCAGGAAACTTAAAAGGGCTTGTATCCATCGATCTGGACAACGGGGGCCCAAGCCTTCGAAATCGATGAACCGGATCCGGTGGGCGGCCTTCCTCTCTTTGAAGGACGGCTCCATCAATTCAGAAATGTCCGTTTGACCGATATGTCTCTTGCAAACAAACAACTCCGGCAGTGTGGCTGCCCTAAACAGCTAAGAAGGAAGCCTGAATAATCATGAATACCACTGCTTAGAGGTATTATGGCATAAGCACACACACACACCCCGAAGCTTAGCTGTGACTTTATAATCCACAGATCACTTCTTCGTCTTCAGCTGCGTCTTCATGACGTTGCTCGCGGGCCGCTTTTGAGTCGCCGGCTTGGCCCCAGGCGCAATAAACTCCTGGAAACTTACTGTAAAGGTTTGGGAGCTGGGTTTCTGAATGATCAGATTCAGAAGAGCTTCTAACGGAATAGACTTTTGGGGTTTTTTGTAGTGGTGTTACAATACGGAGCGAAGAGGGGCCGGACCCAAACTCTCAGACCCTTCGATTCAGCATTTCTGGCACATGTCTGCTGTATCCCGGGACCCAAAGACCTGATAATTGATGATCCTGGCTTTACAGGAACCGGAAATGAACTCTTCGGGGCACTGTGTTTCTGGATAAGAGCTAACAGTGTCCCTGGGTCTGTGCCCGGCTTCCCTCCTTGACTGCGAAAGCACGCTTCATCAGGGCTTCGAGTGCAGACACGTTCACCTCAGGGGTTCAGAGGACTCGACACGTTGAAACTGAACCTGGAAGTATTGACCCTTATAGCTAAGAGTTGGAAGCCCAATAGCCCTCAATCCTGAAGCGTAATGCATAGGGAATCGCAGCACTATTTGTCCTTATATAATCCGCTTCCCAACTTTCTGTGGTTCACTATAGTCACTATACTGTATCAACCCATGATACACTTCAAAACCGCTGACAGGGTGAACTCTGGGCTTCAGGCTACTCCGCTACTCCGCTTTCCAGCCTCCTCGAGGCTCTTGAAGTGGAGGCAGCCGACGCCGTGCGTACACTTGGGCCCGATCTTCTTAACCTCCTTATCGGTAAGCTTGAAGATGCAACCAAAGTACATGGTGATATTGCTGGCTCGGGCAGCCACACCACACTGGAGCCAGTTGTAGGGCTTCTGGCTCTTGCTCTGGTAGAGCATCTTACCAGCTCCGATAATGCTTCCTCCATAAACGTGGATTTCCTTGGAGTGCTTCTTGAACATGGCCACGATCTTAGACATATCTGCTCGCTTGCTGTCTGGCTGCACGTCCGACAGCAGCTTCTGCACAGTTAAGCCCTTCGTTATCTCAGTCATCGCTGGCATGGCTGCGTGAAGTGAATCCTCCACCCCTGGACTCGGGCTCTACAGTTCTCCACTCTGCAATGATGGCACAGCTGCGGAATGCACGAACAGTGCTTGCTGACGGCCTCGCTCGTCCAACTAACAGACAGATGGGGAAAGAGTGCGCAGGCACCATAAGCTTTTCAAGCTAAGATTCAATTTTCACATGCTGAAATCAACCGGTACGACAAAAACTGAGCATGACGCGGACAAGCCGTCAAGAGGGATTGCATTTGCAGAAGGTCTTGTGGGATGCGATGCAAACATATGCGTGGGATCGTTGAAGCTGCTTGAACCCGCCGAGAGACTCCAGGAAACAGCCATCGGCAGGCTTATCGGGATGCTGTGGTTTGGGGCGGTTTGCGGCTTACGACTTTGGGGCTTAGGGTTTCATGCAGCACCATGCATGCAAACTTTCCGTGCACGTCATATAGGGACATGAATAATTGGAATCCTGCTGTGGGGTAGACTTATTACAAAAAAATATGAAAATAATTGTCTTAGTAGTTGGGCAGTTACCTACATCAAGTAAGCATAGAGACCCTACTTGAGCCTGCAAACAGGATGCTTTGTCAGGAACTACCAGACCCCATTACAAGCGAGATCGAGGCTATTGCAAATCGCGAGATCGGCTTGGAAGTCTGTTTTCATCGGAGCTGCTCATACATGAAGACCAATAGAGGGTATTTAGGGTTTAGGGTTTAGGGTTTAACTTGATTCACAAGAGCACTTGGGATTTTCTTGTCCAGGGCTCTCTGCTTTAGAGTGTACCCTCACAGGAGCTAGTACTGGTGAAGCCCCGCCAATTACGGGGACCACACTCCAACCCAGGAGATCCTGTAATCCCAAACCCCCATGTTGAGAAAACACACTAAAACCTAAAACTACACAATAAGGAACCCTGTTTTACCCAGTAGGAGGCTCCTACGTTAGGCCTCCTCTAAACCCTGAACCACCCGAGTCTCTGCCTCGGGTGCCATCCACCTCCAAGTCCCCACGCCCACCGTCAGTCCCTGCTTCGACGTCTCGGTCGCCTTTGAAGGGGGTGGGGGGGGGTGGGAGAGGACATAGTTCTGGCGTTTGTAGGGGACGGAGGTTTAGGGCCTTCGGTTTGGGTGTTTAGGGGGTTTAGGAAGCGAGACGGCTTGGTTTGGGGGTCTGGCTTTGGACAGCCTTGAATCAAGACGACAGGCTGCAGTAATGAATTGTTCCTTTGTTACTTAAAGTTGCGAAGAGCGTATTGGGCATGCGACAGCGAACGAAGTTTGACAGCTACCCGGACGAGCGACGTGATCTCGAAGGCACAGTCGAGTGTTTAACGTTTGGGTTTTGGGGCCTTCGGGCAAGTACAAGCATCTCAAGGCGAGTGACGCAGACCGTTGCGGGAAGCCTACTTGACCGTCTAAACGCGGGAATCAAGAGGTCCGAAAAATGGAACCCGAAATCCCAAACTCTCAAACTCTTCGTTTCTGGCGGCTCTTGGATTTTCATGCAGCTACGGCTTTGGGGTGGGCCGATGGGGCCCGAGCCTTGGCCGGGCCCAAGCAGCAAGCTTGGGGGTTTAGGGTTTATTTAGGGCTTAGGGAAGCTGCGTGTCGAGTTGGGTTTCGGGTGGCCGTCTGGCGCTATCCGTCGGGGGCATCTTCTGAGCTATTTGATTGGTAGCCAAAACCCTGCCAAAACCCAGAAACAAGGCCCGGAATCCGTGCCCTCTACGGCCTTAAACCAAAGTCCAGTGCAAATTTGGCCGAGGGACATCCACCCGCGAGAGGCCAAAATCAGCCACCTTCATGGCCAGACTACCAAACGTGGACAAAACCACCAAGGTGTTCGGCTAAGGATGGCGGGTTCAGGGATGAGGTTTACTGTCTGGACAGACACGCAAGTAATGCTCAAGTTCCCTGATGCACTGCCGGGATTCTGGGGCCCAAATGCTTCTGCAGTGCCCGGACACGCCCGGCAACACCGAGAACGTGAGTCATTATTGCAATTTACGCACGGGTCGTGCTGACTGGAGGACACTATCGTGTGTTAAAAGATATTATAGATTGGATTAAAAAGGGAAGGCGCCACCTCACGAAAAGGGCCATCCAACCTCACAAAAACCTATGCTATGCAACCTCTACAAGAGACGACATCACATCAACTGCATCACATCATGCCACCTGGAGAACGTCATCACATCATGCCATCCAAACCACCAGTATGGAAATACCCTTCGCCACGCTTGTGTGGTTAACAAAGGAAGAGACTCTTGCATATGAGGAGAGTATAGCAACAAGAAACGGTAGTAGTGATAGGTGATTCCCTGAACCGTAAACCTTCAACCCTAAACCCCAAAACCTTTGAGTGATGATACTCCTTTATATGTACAGCAACAGGTCGGTTCAATACCGCACAGCACCGACAGGAACCGAAGCCCTGCGAGTAACTCGAGCATGAGACTCGGACCCCAGGATTACTTGGGGCACAGGGTTAGAGGCTTAGACATGATATGAGATAGGTTTGAGGAATTTGGGCTCAGGGGATGGGTCTTGCGGGTGGAGACGAAGATCTTGACGCCGGCATGGTTGATGTCTTTCTGTGTCGAAGCGCTTTCCGATGTTACGACCCGGTCCGTTTTACTGTCCTTGTGACTTTTTTCCGGATATTCCATTGGAAACTAACCCTAAACCCTAAACCCTAAACCCCTCTCCTCGCTCCCAAGACATGGCCTTCGCAAAGGGCTCTTGACTGGAATTCCTGCGAAGCCGTATGGGATTTGCAGCGTGTGGGTAATAGGTTCGCCAACTCCACAGGGGCACAACAAGACCCACAGCCGCCTCATAGAACAGCCCCAACGCAAAAAGTCGGCTTAGAGACAGATTTCGATCATGAGATTTGGCTTTTGAGATGTTGGGTGGAGGTATGCGGTTTCGGAAACGACTTTGTATCGCAGAGCAAAAATTGAAAACACAACTAGCGAAGTACTACCGTTCGCAGCATTCACGAGGTTGCCCTAGACTGACAACGCCGTGGTCTATGCAGCCGCACAGAGGAGCACCATATGGAAAATTGACCACTGCAACAATCGAAGAAAAGCCTTTGTGATCCACAAGGAGCCACAAGCCTACTGTGAAACGTACTGATTTGGCTTTCAAGCTATAGTCTTGCTTCCAGAACATTAACGGGCATGATGTGCGACACCTCGGCAGTTGAGAGCTTGACGTACTTCACTTCCTGTCTGATGCTGAAAGACTACAGTGACTAAGCCGTGAAGCCCCAAAGACTACCTGTATGCCCCCACGCGACCCTCCCAAGCTGGCCTTAGCGGCTTTGCAAGCAGGACGTTGCTGCTTTTGAGGTCCCGGTGGAGGATGCAAGGTTTCTGCTCATGGAGATACCTCTTCGACCAAACGGGAAACCCCACACAACACAACAACCCCTCCCCCGGCAAAAAGGAGTATACATGCTATCCATTTGGAACCCAGATGCACTCCCAAAGGACCAGTATTCATTCTTGCTGCCACTCATGTTGCCACACTTCTGGCGGGCAACGTGACTCCTGCATGCCGGATTGCTCCTGATATCGTTGCTGTTGCTGTTGTTGCTGGCGCAATCATTTCCATCTGATTTCTTCCACAAGTGCTGGCTAAAACATGAAAACCAGCAAGCCCCTGCTTGAGGAACCTGCACTGGAGCAGCATAGCAATGAAAACTGCGCAGTGCTAGTAAGCATCTGTTTGACTGTTAGCCGATGCTAGTCGCAATGACAAAGAGGAAGAATGATGATAGTCAACCTTGACATCAATAGCGCCGCAGCAGCCGAGCTTGCGGTGGTGTTTCATTTCAGGTCACCAAAAATCAGGGGACTTGTGTCAGGGTCCGACGAGGTGGGTTGCAGTAAGACGAAGAAAAGCACAAGGAGCGGCAACATCCTCAGTGCTTTGTGCTTGGGGATGTTGGGGTCTGCCGTTTGGCACAGAAAGAGGAGGCCTGGGCAGTTGGAGTTGGAAAAGGCCGCGGCTGAGGCATCTGCTGGCTATGGCAATCCTGCCTTCCTGCCAGAACCCTCATACTTACTGTTGATGGACAAAATCCTGCATGACCTTATATACCTAAACTATGGGATTTATGGTACTATACTATATTTGGGTCATGCAGGATTTTGTCCATCAACAGTACCATCACTGAGCACAGACATGACGAGGTTGGTCGGGAATCTTTTTCGGTTCGAGAGCACCGATGCATTCTGCCTTCAGGCTCTCAAGGTCTCCATGCAAGGGCGGGCGGTTCGGAGTGACCTTACCGGCAGCCTGACGAATTAGGCGAGGGTCGCCTTCAAACACAGAGGCCATAGGCTTTAAAAGTTGTTTAGCCCGCTCCTTGGGAAGAGGCTCCTTCTTGACAACTCTTTCATCGGTCGAGTTGGGGTGCAGCACATCTTCCAGTGTGAGGGGCCGGTGGCATCGTTGCAAAAACAGCGTGGCGGACTCCAGCAAAGATAGCGGTGGCAGCTCTACATGCACCGCCTTGACCACGTCACTAAACAGTTCCTCAGAGTTGCCCAGTTCACACCTCTAAACTCCCAAAACCCAAAAGGAGACCTGCTCCTAAGAAGCCCCGAAACTCGAAAAAAAGCAGCTACTCGAGGCGACTCCCAAGGTACCCATTGAGGTTTGGAGCACCCCGCCAGCAGATAGAACTTGTCGGATTCCAGGTTCTGCTTCAAAACTTCCGCATGCTCCAGCAGAGCCGAATCGGCATCATCGATGATGAGGAGCCCTTTCTTCAGTGGCCTTGGCTGTGCTGAGAGGCCACAAACAGAAGCCACCCGCCCGGAATTCACGGAAAAAAGGACTCCACAAATCCTAAACCAACAAACCCTAGAAGAGTCCCGAATCCAGCACCGAACAAGCCCCTGATTCCTACACCCTGACCTTCAGAGCACCCGAGCGGCTGTGCCTGTCCAAAAATGCAGCTGCCAGAGAATTTGCGGCCCGGGGCAGAGATGTAGCGTGCGATCATCGTCAAGGTGGCAGTGAGCCCCAGCTTGCCTGGTCAAGTTTAGAAAACAGGGGCCTCAATAATTAGGTAACATGCTTGTGTAATGGAGCGCTCCCCTTATATAGTGGGGCTCGGGATCGCAAGTTTAGGCTGCTCTCTATTTCCATGGGGTTTTAAAGGGAAGGCTTTTGGTTTACCATGCATAGAGTCTCAAACGACGGAACCCATCATGAGGTCCATGGCGCTCGGGAACATAAAGCTCAGCACAGCAATCAGCCAAATGAGATAATAATCACCTTTATCTTTGCCGGTGCCATCACCATCATCATCATCGTCGTCGTCGTCGTCATCATGAAGATACCCAACATCAACTTCATGGTCGTTTTCTGTTGGTCGTCATCGTCGTTTTGGTCAAGACCATAGTAACCCTCATGGCAATGGCAAGCCTCCGCTTCTCGGTTAGACTTCATCATGATGACTGGCTACTAGTGTCAGGCTGCAGGCATCCTGCAACGTGCAGATCATCGTGTGAGAATGATGCTGCTGCTGTCGTGCTACTTTGCGATGATGAGCTGAATGAGTCGCCGGGTCTAGTGGCAAAGTCCGAACTGTGCTTAAAGTCATCCTCGAGGCTTCGTGAGGAGCTTCTTTCACGGCAGTTCCAAGCAAGTGATGCATAGCGATGCCAACTGCTTGCACCATGAGCAGTTACACTGTTGCTGAATTACCTCAATATGGTCTGTTTAGAGGACGATTAACCATAAGGGGGGTTGCCGACGAAAAGGTACTACAGTTCAGGATCTAAGCATCTTAGAGCCCGTCACTATCTGTATCTCCCAAGTTGCGGGGGCAGTGTAGCACGACGACTCTGCCTGGGTCATTGGGAAGGAAGAGACAGGGGAAACAGGGGAAACCCTAACCTCCCCACACTGCACTTTTAAACCGGAAGCCGTTGACACTGGACTACTGATAGAATGCAGGAGCCTGCAGAGAGCGTGCATACTCCTTATGTTTTTCAAAAGAGCTGGGAACAATCAGTGAGACCCCTTTTGTAACAGCATAATTGACTCTATTCTGACGGCTCTTCAGTCGTCCTCCTGTGCAGTGTTATGTTGGTCATACCATTAGTACCACTACATATGATTGTTCTTCCCATTCTTCTGATTTGTATGATTGGTATTACTACTGCTTTCCTCTCATTTACACCACTAAGAGAAATGTCTCTCACGCCCTCGCAAGAACCGCAGCACGGAGAAGTGAACTACGAACTCGTGGCGACCGGCAAGCGGACAGGCTTATTGGGTGTAGGACCGGACTTCAGACCATAGATAACTTCCGAACTTGGAGCGTCCAAAACCTGCACATCCTCATCCCACCCCAATGTCATTCCGGACCAGTTTGAAGCACCATGACCTTCGAACCATTGGACCATTGGTAGCAAGGCGGCATGCATGATTGATTATGATTTCGTTCTGTGGCCAGACCCTGAACCACCAAGAAACCTTACAGACGACACAGGCTCAGAGGAGTTTTCCTTATGACAAGGATCCCACGATTTTGTTCTTGCGTTGGGTCGCTTGGTTTCTCAAACTTCCTAGTGTTTCGGTTGGGTTTAGAGGAGGATTTAGGCGGCTTAGCGGTCCAAGTTTAGCCGTGTAGGCTGCCGTTCATGGGTTCAGGGTCTTGGGGTTGCGGCTCACCGCTCACCCTTAGACCCGCGGCAAGGCGAGGTGCATCCAAAAATCCCTCGGCCCTCAAGGCAACGAAACTACTATCAGACCTCAATTATTCGAAAGAAGCTCGTTGGTGTCTTCTGCTTCAGTTCTATACACTACAGAATAGCTATGGGGGATACATTGCTGCTTATTCCGACCTCTGTATTCTCTCTTGCGGATAATCTGCATCTTTTGAGGGAGCAGTATAGGGCTTACATAGGGCTTAAATAGAAAACCTCCAGACCATCCTTAAACTGCGCACCCTGACCTATAGCATATAAACGACTTCCGCTGGCATAACTGAGCCGTCTGCGGTGCGCGAGGTGCTGAAGCACAGAGAGCATTATCTCCTCACAGCCAGGAGCCGCTTGGAAACGCCCTAAACCCTAAACCCCTAAACCCCTAATTCCTAAATCCTAAACCCCTAAACCCTAAACCCTAAACCCTAGTAGTTCTTCGGCGGGCTGCAAATTGAAAGTTCAGGCTTCTTTGAAGCAGGATCTTGATTTGCCATTCGATCGTTTCGATCACATGTTTCGGGCCTCGGGTTTTTCCAGGAGCCCCGTTCGATGGAAAAAGCAAAACCTGAAGCCCCTCAAACCATCAATCCAAGACACTGACGAAGCAAAGCAAAACCCGAAATCCCAATTTGAATGAAGCCTCAGCCAGAAACCGCTCGTCACCCCATAGATCTGGACCACAGAACCTCTGAGGAATACGTTCCCGTGCGGCAAGTTGTCCACAGGTCCCAAATGAAGGGCTGCAGATAAGGCCCAGTGCAGAACTCTTGCCGGGTTTTTGCACGTCACCATGCGGCGGGTCGATAACCCTCTTGCGGGGGCGCCTCCCCCATTTGCACCCCTACATACCCTTTACGGTAGTCATCCCCTATTTTGAGCCCCAAAGCCCGGAATCCAAAGCCCTGTGCACACGAAGGAGTTAGAATTTCACCCCTACACATCTCCTCGCGGCCAACAAAATCCTCCACCGGGCCAGGAAGGTTTTCATAGGCCTGCCGTGCACGATCCCCAGAACACGAGGAGCACCCTTGTAAATGTTTAGGGCCGTTTAGGGTTTCGGGCTTGGGTTTTTTGTTTTGGGGTTTGGAATTTGTAACTTCTGCTCACCGAAGGTTAAGTACAAGTTAAAGCCTTAGAAGTCCTCGATTTAGGGTTCTGTCGGGGGCTTGTGGCTTTCGACCCCTCAATCTAACGGGAACAGAGAAAAAACTCTGGAAAGGAGAACACGGAGATCTGCACAATGTACGCAGCGGCATTGACTGCAATGATAGTGACGGCCGCCCCAGTCGTCAAGGTCGACATCGTCATCACCGATGTAATCGCCGAGACGGAAACCGTCATCGAATCATGTACATGAAGAAGCTGACAAGTGGGAAACCGCAGTTGTAACTGAGCAGGTTGGAGGACGACTGGAGCAACACGACAGGACAGCTCCTAAGCCAAATCTGATACTAGCAATACTTCGGATGTCCTGTGGACTTCGAAGATTCAGGTCTCGACCCCTCAAGCAAAGTCCCAACTCTTCAGACGCATGCGAAGCCCAAGAAGGGCGCCTGAACCCTCCCCTCTTACCCTGAAGCTTTGGCCCAAACCCCGAACCGTTCAAACCGCCCCCGAAAAAAAAACTCCCCAAACCCTGCACGACGGCGGCCTTCGGGGCTAGATCTGCATGAGCAACTTCAGGAACCTGCTGCTCGTTGCAAACTATCTAAGGATCGTCTGCGACATGTAACGGTCAGAGTCATACCACCACTGCCAGCATCATGATTTCTTCGTCTTCTTCAGAAGAAGAACCACCATCATCACCATCACCACCGCGATTGAGACGGAGAGAAATTTTGCGTGCCGAAGATAACAGCGACAGCAGTCAAAATCAGAAGGCTCGAAAGACCTCTTGCCAGACCCTGGAAACCTGAACATGCCCGAATACTACTTGCCTACAATATGGCCCTGTTGACTCTATCTTCCCAAAGCCGGAAACTCAAACACCCTTCTGACCCTTCTCCCAGAATCCTGTAACCCTATACCCGTAATCCTAGATCGCACCTGCAGCAGGACGTCGCCGTTCGAGAAGAGGCGAAATCCAGAGTCGCCTCCCTCCAGGTCGGCTTCGACCTAACGAAAGGGGCCTTAACAACCAAAATCTGGTTTCGGGGTAGGTCATACGATAACTAAAATACCTAATGTAAGGGCCTACAGGGGGTTAATACAAGGGGCATGATGGTTTTTGTTGTTTAGGGGCCTTGGTAAGTAGAAGGCCTTGGGATACTATGACTATGATAAGGAACAGCGTGTTAGTGCAGCTAGGGCTAGGAGGTAGCAGGAATGGCTACTGAACAAGGTAGAACTGCCCTCAGCGCAGCCCTAAACTTCATCATAACGTCCTGGAACCCCCAAACTCTGAAAGCGACCAATCACTGAGAAGACCTACCAAACATCAACCCTAAAAACCCTAAACCCTAAACATCTCAGCCGCCTCCGACAGGGCGATGCGGAAGGCATTTCGCAGAGAGCGCCGGCAGGCCATGGCCAGATAAAAACCTCGCGGACGGGGATCCTCTGACTGAGGGGCGGAGTTATGTCGACCCATCGGCCCCATCGTAGTTCCTTTTTGGAGCTCATATTTAGAATCCTATAAGGTAATCCCAAAAAGGAACTACTATGGGGCCTATGGGTATGGTCTGGGATGTTAGGTCTATAGGCGCGGACTCAGCGATGAAGGTCTGAGTCTGTCTCGCTCTCTTCGTCGCTCAACTTACTTTCCGGTTTCCTCCGGACCTCGCTCTCTCTCTCTCTCTCTCGCTCTCTCTCTCTGAGTCTTCTTCTGGCAGGCTTACGGAGCGAGTCCCCTCAGGCCTGCCTCCCTCTTTCTCTCTCTGTCTCTGCGCTCCTGCTTCCCGTGGGTTCGACTTGTCCAGGGCGCGAGACCCAGGATTGCGGGTGGAGAATTAGGGGACAGGGTCAACAGCTCTGGGCCGAAGGAAAGATCAATGTCTGAGGATGCTTCAATGAGCCGCAGCTCCTCGCGGAGTCGGTTCAAGTCCTCGAAGTGCATCGGCCGGATTCTCTACAAACCCTATAAGGGTCCATGTGCCCAAATAGTATATACTTCGGCCCAAAAGCAGTCCCTCTATAGGTACTTTGGGGCCAAAGTATATACTATTTGGGTACATGGACCCTTCGGGAAACCTTATGCTGTCTTCTCATGTTTAGACATCACGCTGCACCCTTTTGTGCTCTACCTACCCGAGGTGGGTCATGTTGCTCCTGATGGGGCAAGCCAGGTCTTCCGTTAGGGCCCCAAAAAGCACATAAGCAAAAATTAGGATAGGGATATCCCATATAAACCCCCTTATAATGAAGCCCAATAAGGTAGGGATATCCCTATAAAATGCTTCTGCTTATGTGCTTTTTGGGTTCCTAATCTTCCGTTGGAACCAAGGACCAAGGGGCTCTTGGCAAAGCGGCTGGCGCAGTGGTCGGTGACAGCTCGATTCGTGTACCTTTGAATTTACAAAGTCGCTCCTACCCTTGTTGGTTTGGGGTCTAGACAGTAGGGCACCCCAAAGACAAGACCTCTGTGTATATAGAATGCCGGGGCCAAGTTGCACGATGTGCTGCACGCCCGCGGAGTAGAACGCTGCAGCAAGCCTTGGCTACGGGAATTCATGAAGCACGAACCCCCTCCACGATGGGGTGGAGTGAGAATCACAGAGGCAAAAGGCTGTGCTGAAGCCTACCCTAAACCCCCAAATCCCAAAACCCCCACCACGGCACCTGCCCCGGCAGAAGCCTGCAACCTTCAAAACCCGTTGAAGCGAGCACCTTCACACGAAAATTGTAAAGCCCCAAAGCTGAAAGACCTCGGATGGTTTAGACTGCGGTCCTTTCGACCGTGATGAAGCCATGAACCTGCCCCCTCGGGCTAAAGCACAAAGTGCTACCCAACCCAAGCTGCAGAGAGCCAACAGTGCGAGAGGCGTGTCCGATCTGCAGTTGGACAGGAACCTGGGAGTTGTGAAGTAAAGGAAACCTATAGGAGCCCAGTAAGCTGTTACAGCTTGCTACTGGGCTGCAGATACCAGGTTTTGGGTCCTCCGCCGATCTTGGGTTAGACAGCAATCATGAGTACCTTTGGGTTTAGGGATTGAAGGGGCAGTAACCCACTTTTTGCAGACTATACAGATCACCCGGCTTCTAGGGTAAAAAAGGGGTAAACAAAGCTAAGATGTACGTGCTTAGAATGCAGGCCCACCATGGCCCACCTTTGAGCATGTAACCCCTAAACCGAAGCCGAAGCACACGAAGAAGGCAGCCGGCGCATCTGTGCCCCCACTCCGGAGTAGCCGCACCAAAGCATGCAGAGTAAGAGCCTGTCTGCGGTCTACGCTGTCGGGCTCTGGGTATGTGCAGTTCAGGTTTCCGCGAAATACCACCCGATGTGGAGTTTAGGGGGTGCTTTGTGTTTTGGCTTTGAAAAAGTGGTTTTATCAGACTGGTTGAGAACTGGGTTAAATGCGTGCAGGGTATAGGATGTAAGCTTTGGATTGGGGTCGGTGCGGATTCTGTTTGCACGTTGGGGCTTGGTGTTGTGTCGGGGAGGTGCTGTGGTTTGGATTGTACTCGGGATTTTGGCGTGGGATGTGGGAGGTGCTTTGTGTTTTGCCGCAGAAGGATTTTTTTAAGCTGGTTGAGACATGGATCAAAAGCGCAGGAGGAGGTACAGGATGTGAGCTCCGGGGCTAGACACACCGTGATGCACATACTTCGACGTGCAAATCACCCTTGCATCAGGCATGAGATGTCTTGCCGAGTGCAAAAGAACATCCGCAGGACACAGGTGCATAATCCAAGTGCTAAGTGTTGAGCCTCACATCCCAAACCCCTGAATCCTTAAACCTGTAAACTAAAAAGCCAATCTCCAACCCCCAGAACCCGTAAATCCAACACCCTGGCCCATAAACCCCTGAAGCCTAAACCCCCAGACCCTTTATCTGCGCACCTCGGTGCCTCCGAAACCATCCTTCAGGGGAGTCGCAAACACTTTGAACTACACATCCAAATGCTTTCTTCCTGGCTTTTGTGGCCTTGTAGGGGCTTGGGGTGACTTCTCTACGGGTCCTTATGCTAAGCTGCTAAGGATCCCGCTATCAAAAAGTTCTTTATTGGGATCACTTCTTGTTCTGAGACACTCCGATGGAACCCGGGGTTAAAGCGCTTAGGCCAGCGGCAACCCGACGCAGCCCTCAACATCACGGATCTGGGTCAAGGGCTGAGGTTCTAGGATTTGGGCTTTAGGGCTTGAGGTGTTTGGAGCTTTGGGTGTGGGGTTTACAGTAGGGCACTCAACAGCGTGCTAAGCTCCGAATCCCTCTGGAGGTTCAAGGGCTCAGGCTATTGATAATGTGGCGATTACAAAAATCACCTCCTCCCGGACATGTTGCAGATGGCAGAAGTACTTTGCAATATCTGAACGGACACGTAGACGACAGCGAGGAGGAACACTGATCAGGAAGAACTTCCAGCACTGCAATAATCAACAAGGCGCTACAACCAACCCTAGAATCCTACAGCTGGTTCTTTGAAAAACCATATTTTCAATCACCACCAAAAACCCTGAAATGATTAAGGCCCCCCAGAAACCCACTGAAATGATGAAGGCCCCTTACAAGACGCTGCAAAAACTTCAAGAAGGACCCAGCCGGCCTCAAGCACCAAGGTGCTCTCGTTGGCAGTATGTGCAGAGAGGTGGAGCCAAAGATTTCCTTTTCGAGGGAGTTTAGGAGGTTTAGGTTTAGGGTTTAGGGTGTTTAGGGTTCGAAGGAAGAAAAACCAGGAACTGAAACCCGAATCGAAAAGCTGAAGCTCTACAGGCCCTGAGCCCCCCAAAGCCACCAAGCTAAAGGCTTTAAGGGATTCTGGCTCAGGGCTTCGAAACTCTCCCTGCTTTTTTTCCGAGCTGAGAGCAGCTCCTGGCCCAAGCTTATGATGTAGATCGTCATTCTATATATATATATATATACATATAAATATAAATATAAATACAAATATATATATATATATACACATATATATATACACATATACATATACATATTTATTAATTATATATGTATTTTTGTTTTTTCTTTTTTTTAACATTATTGGAGTTTCT